CCCGGGTGATCTGCAAGCCAAGGTAGCTGCGCAGTTCACCCAGGTCTGTGCACGTGTGTCTCTTCTGCAGCTCGGACTTCACGTGGGCGAGTCCAGCAGTGTCAGCAGTGGCAAAGACCAAGTCGTCGACGTACACGAGGATGTAGAACGGCGGCAAAGAGGTGTCGGTGCGCAGAAACAGCGACGGGTCGGCAGTAGAAGGAGCTGTGAAAGAAAGAACGAGAATGAATTGACTATGAACGAAGTGAGTACAAATAGGAAACCCTAATTGGGTTGTACCCCCTATGGGATACCCCACTATAGCATACACAAATAAGTAAGCTATAATGTTCTGACACACCCCCATAGGCAAAGTGGGGAAGAACAAGGGGTCACAAGACCAGTCAAGCAAAGCAAAGCAAAGCTCAGGGTGGATCACAAAGTCACCACACATTCCGAGCACAAGTTCAAAGGCCACAAGGCCAGTTCACATGCAAGATCATATATAGAGATATACAAGAGTCAAGCAAGCAAGAACAAGAGTATATATAGGTGAAGGTACAAGCAAGGTCAAGAAGTGAGCAAGTGAGGCAAGACAGGCACAAGACCTAGCTGCGTGCAGCAACGCTGATGATCACAAGGCGCAAGTGCCTTGGTGAAGACATCAGCAGTGTTGGCCTCGGAGGCCACGTACGCAAGTCGCAACTATCCACGCTGCTGCAGCTCACGAGCAAGAAAGTAGCGGAGAGCAATGTGCTTTGTCCTGTGCTCCAGTCGCTGCTCTCGACACAAGGCCAGCATGGCCTTGTTGTCTACGTACAGGACTGGAGGAGAACGAGGCGGCTCTCCAAGGTCGGTCAGCAGGTAGGTGAGCCAGCGTAACTCCTGTGCAGCCATAGCCCCGGCGTAGATCTCAGCCTCACAACTAGAGCCGAGAACAGAAGACGAGCGAGTAGCCCGCCACGAAACAGAGCCGGAACCAAGGCCGAAGGAGTAACCTTGTGACGACCGCTGCGTAGCCTGGTCGTCAGCCCAAGAAGCGTCCGCGTGCCCAGTGAGGACCACTGGACTGCGCCCTCCAAGCACTAGCCCCATGCCCGATGTACTGCACAAGTAGCGCAACACCCTCTTCGCTGCAGCCATGTGCTCTGGTCGGTGTCCCAAGAGCAACATAGCGTGCGAGAATGCTGAGAGGGTATGCAAGGTCAGGTCGTGTGCAGGTCATCAGGTACATGAGGCAGCCAACAAGCTTTGCATACGGGCCACTCGACTCTACGGACTCATCCGAAGGCAGAGCTGAGAGCGAGTGGCGAGTAGACAGAGGAGTGGCCTGAGGCGAGGAGTACGTGAAGCCGAAGCGCTGAAGGACCTGCTGCACCATGTGTGACTGAGTCAGGGTAATGGTGCGGCGTGCTCTGTCCCGGGTGATCTGCAAGCCAAGGTAGCTGCGCAGTTCACCCAGGTCAGTGCACGTGTGTCTCTTCTGCAGCTCGGACTTCACGTAGGCGAGTCCAGCAGTGTCCGCTGTGGCAAAGACCAAGTCGTCGACGTACACAAGGATGTAGAATGGCGGCAGAGAGGTGTCGGTGCGCAGAAACAGCGACGGGTCGGCAGTAGAAGGAGCAAACCCAAGAGCCGCAAGTGTAGTCCTCAGTGTGTCGTGCCACTCACGTGGTGCCTGGCGGAGACCGTAGACTGGACGCCGGAGACTCCACTGGGTACCAGGAGGGAAAGACCCAGTGAAGCCAGGTGGGCGACGCAGCCAGATCTCCTCGTGCAGGCTGCCCTGCAAGAAAGCTGTGCTGAAGTCGAGAGAGTGCAGCTCGTAGTCGCGGTGAGCAGCAACGTGCAGCAGTACCCGAAGAGTGGTCATCTTCGGGGTGGGGGAGAAGGTCTGAAAGTAGTCAACTCCCTGCCGCTGACTGAAGCCACGAGCCACGTAACGCGCCTTGAAGACAGGCGGAGAGCCCGGCGGCCGCTTCACCCTGAAGATCCACATGCCACCGACGATGTTCGCCCCAGGAGGGGGAACAGCGTCAACGTAGGTGCCTGTGGACTTCCAGGAAGCCATCTCTGCATCCATAGCTGCCTGCCACTGAGAGGAGTAGGGACCCTCTATCGCCTCCGCGTAAGAGCGCGGAGTCGGGACGCGTCTCCTGGTTACAGTTGTCACTGACCCTTCCTTTGAGTCCACTGCTGCGTCTCCCTTAGTTGCTGAGCTTGTCGACTTTGCTGCTCGCTGTCGTCTAGACTACGCCGCTAGTCTTGTTGCTGAGTCTGAGTCTGTCTGTCCTCCGTCCGTCGGGGGTGAGTATGCTCTTACAACGGACGTCCTTGAGGACAGGCAGGAGGAGTTCTAGTGTTTTGCTGCTGCTTTGCCTCATCTCGTGCCCATGCTGATTGCCCCTGAGGGAGACCCGGATGCACCAGACATCCCGACTCCTCGATCGTACGCTGAGGCGATCGAGGGTCCCTACTCTCTCACAGTGGCAGTCAGCCATGGACGCAGAGATGGCTTCCTGGAAGTCCACACGCACCTACGTCGACGAAATTCCCCCACCTAGGGCGAACATCGTCAGTGGCATGTGGATTTTCAGGGTGAAGCGGCCGCCGGGCTCTCCGCCTGTCTTCAAGGCGTGTTACGTGGCTCGAGGCTTCAGTCAGCGGCAGGGAGTTGACTACTTTCAGACCTTCTCTCCCACCCCGAAGATGACCACTCTTCGGGTGCTGCTGCACATAGCCGCTCAGCGCGACTACGAGCTTCATTCTCTTGACTTCAGCACAACTTTCTTGCAGGGCAGCCTGCACGAGGAGATTTGGTTGCGCCGCCTCCCTGGCTTCACTAGGTCGTTTCCTCCTCGTACCCAGTCGAGCCTCCGGCGGCCAGTCTACGGTCTCCGCCAGGCGCCCCGTGAGTGGCACGACACACTGAGGACTACACTTGCGGCTCTTGGGTTTGCTCCTTCTACTGCCGACCTGTCGTTGTTTCTGCGCACCGACACCTCTTTACCGCCGTTCTACATCATCGTGTACGTCGACGACTTGGTCTTTGCCACTGCTGACACTGCTGGACTCGCCCACGTGAAGTCTGAGCTGCAAAAGAGACACACGTGCACAGACCTGGGTGAACTGCGTAGCTACCTTGGCTTGTAGATCACCCGGGACAGAGCACAGCGCACCATTACGCTGACTCAGTCACACATGGTGCAGCAGGTCCTTCAGCGCTTCGACTTCACGTACTCCTCGCCTCAGGCCACTCCTCTGTCTACTCGCCACTCGCTCTCAGCTCTGCCTTCGGATGAGTCCGTAGAGCCGAGTGGCCCGTATGCAGAGCTTGTTGGCTGCCTCATGTACCTGATGACCTGCACACGACCTGACCTTGCATACCCTCTTAGCATCTTGGCACGCTTTGTTGCTCCTGGGAGACACCGACCAGAGCACATGGCTGCAGCGAAGAGGGTGTTGCACTACTTGTGCAGTACGTCAGGCATGGGGCTAGTGCTTGGAGGGCGGCGTTCAGTGGTCCTCACCGGTCATCAGACGCTTCTTGGGCCGACGACCAGGCTACGCAGCGGTCGTCACAGGGTTACACCTTCAGTCTTTGTTCCGGCTCTGTTTCGTGGCGGTCCACCCGCTCGTCTTCTGTTCTCGGCTCCAGGTGTGAGGCTGAGATCTACGCGGGGGCCATGGCTGCACAGGAGCTATGCTGGCTCACATACCTGCTGACTGACCTGGGAGAGCCGCCTCGTTCTGCTCCAGTTCTGTACGTAGACAACAAGGCCATGCTGGCCTTGTGTCGGGAGCACAGACTGGAGCACAGAACGAAGCACATTGCTCTTCGTTACTTCCTTGCTCGTGAGCTGCAGCAGCGTGGTCAGCTGCGCCTTGCTTACGTGGCCTCTCAGGCCAACACTGCTGATATTTTTACCAAGGCACTTCCGCCTTGTGATCATCAGCGCTGCTCTACGATGCTAGGTCTTGTGCCTACTTGGCCTCACTTGCTCAGTTCTTGACCTTGCTTGTACTGTGATCTATCTATACCTGCACTTGCTTGTTTACCTTTATATATGATCTTGCATGTGAACTGGCCTTGTGGCCTTGAACTTGTGCTCGGAATGTGTGGTGACGTTGTGATCCACCCTGAGCTTGCTTTGCTTTTCTTGACTAGTCTTGTGACCTCTTGTTCTCCCCCACTTTGTCTATGGGGGTGTGTCAAACTTATATGCTATAGTCTGTGTAGGCTGTCGTGGGGTAGACAATATGGGGTACAACACTTTTAGGTTTTCCTACTTGTACCCACCTGTTTCCCAGTGCATTCACTTCCTCGTTCTTTCACAGCAAATGGCCAAGTTTCTTGAAGAAGAAACGGTGAGCATAGACTCTAAGACAACATATCAAACTTTCAACATGTGGTGGAAAGTGCATGGTGCACGATTCCCCATTGTTGCAAAGATGGCACACCACTACCTTGCAATTCTGGCAACTTCCGCCGAATCGGAACGCACCTTCTCCACTGCACGTCGTCTCATCACCGGTTATCTTCATTGCCTTGATCCGTGTCTTGTGTCATGATTTGAGCTCACATGCATGGAGTGGTAGTTTAGTATTTGTTATTGAGGATATGTGCTTGTTGTTGTATGCTATGCTAAGTGCAACACAAGTGTAGTTGTATAACAGGATTGAATGTAGCAAAAAAAAAAAGGCATACCAAGTTTATAAGGTCGTACTCGATACTCGACTCGTATTCGAACGTATTCGGCAACATTCAACCCGTATTCGACTCGTATAAAACGATGGTATTCGATCAAATACTTTCTCTACAACGCTAAATATTCGTCAAAGTTACTCGTCGACTCGGTTATTCGTTTTTCACCCTTTACCTAAGGCTAATGAGAGGTCATGGCGGGCCCTCACCTTTTGTGGTTGGGTTGTTGTTGAGTGAGTTGTGTTTTGGTACACAAACTCCACTGTGGTCCCTACAAGTTCCCAAACCTGTTTCCTTCACGTTCCTAAACCCTGTGATGACGTCGTCTCTCTCCGTCGCCCTGCACGGGGGCGGTCGCGTGCTCAGCATTCAGTCACATACCGTCCAGGTATCCGTTGCATGCAGTCGTACACTGCCCAGGTATCCTTCGCATTCTGTCGCAGACCGTGTTGGTCACCGTCGCATTCACCTGCCCTCACAGTCCAGATAGCAAACGATACCGACGTCGTTACTCTACCCCGGCGTAGGCAATGCAAAGCAGCGTTTTTACGTTACGTAGGGTAACCCTACGGTAGCCAAAGCAACCGCCGGTGGCCGAGAGTCCCTCTCAGGTGTCTCTCAGACGCCCCTCTCAAGTGACTCTCAGGTTACCCTCTCAGGTGTCTCTCAGGTGCCCATCTCAGGTGTCCATCTCGGGTGCCCCTTTCAGGTGCCCCACTCAGGTGTTTCTCAGGCGCCCATCTCAGGTGTTTCTCAGGCGCCCCTCTCAGGTATTTTCTCAGGGGGTCCCTCTCAGGCTTCTCTCAGCTGTCCCTTTCAGCTGCCCCTCTCAGGTGTCTCTCAGGTTCCCCTCTCAGGTGCCCATCCCAGGTGTCTCTCCAATGTCTCTCAGGTGCTTGCTTAGTACGACCATGCGAAGTCTGGTATGAAGCTCTGAGTGTCTCGGTCATGCATCAAGTGTAATGAAGCATGGGCTCATGCGAACGCGTGTGTGATGGCGTGTGTCTGCATTGAGTGTATGAGTGTATGTATATACATGCATACATATATCTATCTATATACATATTTATATTTATACATCTATGTGTTTAAACCCTGACACTTCGGTCACATATCTATATTGCTTCGTACCCGGTCCATGCGTCAGAACTATGTGGGTGGGCAGCAAGGTGGCCAGGTTCCCCCGGCAGCTGCTCCTGATGTTGCAGGGTGTTTTTGAGAATTCTCAAAAACTCCATGCGTCAGAGCTATGTGGGTGGGTAGCAATGTGGCCGTGTTCCCCCAGCCCGGCAGCTGCTCCTGCTGGGAAGCGAATGGCATGCTTTGCTTACCATCCAAGGCGCCTGTGTTTCCCTTGCCCGTGCTCCGGAGTTCTCGAGAGAAACCCCAATGTATGTGGGCAACAAGGTGGCCGCGTTCCCCCCTGCAGCTGCTCTGCTCCTAATGGCGTGCTCATGGCCCCACAGAAAACCTGAGAGAAACCCTGAGAGAAACCCTAAACCCAGTGTACCCCTGTTGCCTGCCCATGCGGTAGGGCTATGTGGGCCACAAGGCGGCCTTGTTCCTCCTGCAGCTGCTCTGATCCGAATGGCGTTCCCATGTTGGAACAGAAAACCCAACAGAGACACCTAAGAAACTCCAACCCCAAACCCCTTGTACCCTGTTGGCTATGCGTGAATGCACCAGGGGTATGTGGGCAACAAGGCGGCGGTCTTCCCCCTGCAACTGCTGGGCTTCGATGTGGACCCCATCAATTCTGTGCAACTCTCCAACCACACTGGTGCGCATGTTGGTAACCACACTGGTGCGCATGTTGGTAACCACACTGGTGCGCATGTTGGTAACCACACTGGTGCGCATGTTGGTAACCACACTGGTGCGCATGTTGGTAACCACACTGGTGCGCATGTTGGTAACCACACTGGTGCGCATGTTGGTAACCACACTGGTGCGAATGTTGGTAACCAACCACACTGGTGCGCATGTTGGTAACCGCACTGGTGCGAATGTTGGTAACCGCACTGGTGCCAATAGTGGTAACGGCACTGGTGCGGGACCGGCGGTTGTCCATCCCATCTGGGTGCGTGCCTGCTGCCCCAGGGTCCATCACTCCTCCCACCTCACCACATGCCCCATGCATCTGTCCCATTCGTGCTGCTGCTGCAGGGTACCCCACGTGGAAGGGGCAGACACTGGACGGAGAGCAGTGCAGGTGTGGTTGGTGACAGAGGGGCACACCTCATGTGACTCGCACCATGCCCCCATGCACCCCACCCATCCCATCCATTCCCCAGGCTACCCCACGTAGAAGGGGCGGATACTGCCCCACGTGGAAGGGGAGGATACTGCCCCACGTGGAAGGGGCGGATACTGTACGAGGAGCAGCTGTGGGCAGTGAGAGAGGCGCATGCCTCATGCGGCTCCCAGCATGCCCCATGCATCGCTCCCATCCCGTGCGTGCAGGCTAGCCCACGTGGAAGGGGCAGATACTGAGTGGGGAGCAGCTGTGGGCGCTGATAGAGGGGCTGGGATAGCGCCTGTGCATCCTGAGCCTTGGAGCAGCAGCCTGGGTGCGTGCTGGGTGCATGCACCCTCAAGCAGCCTGGGTGCGTGCTGGGTGGATGCACCCTCTAGCAGCCTGGGTGCGTGCTGGGTGCATGCACCCTCTAGCAGCCTGGGTGCGTGCTGGGTGCATGCACCCTCTAGCAGCCTGGGTGCGTGCTGGGTGCATGCACCCTCTAGCAGCCTGGGTGCGTGCTGGGTGCATGCATGCACCCTCTAGCAGCCTGGGTGCGTGCTGGGTGCATGCACCGTCTAGCAGCCTGGGTGCGTGCTGGGTGCATGCACCCTCTAGCAGCCTGGGTGCGTGCTGGGTGCATGCACCCTCTAGCAGCCTGGGTGCGTGCTGGGTGCATGCACCCTCTAGCAGCCTGGGTGCGTGCTGGGTGGATGCACCCTCTAGCAGCCTGGGTGCGTGCTGGGTGCATGCACCCTCTAGCAGCCTGGGTGCGTGCTGGGTGCATGCACCCTCTAGCAGCCTGGGTGCGTGCTGGGTGCATGCACCCTCTAGCAGCCTGGGTGCGTGCTGGGTGCATGCACCCTCTAGCAGCCTGGGTGCGTGCTGGGTGCATGCACCCTCTAGCAGCCTGGGTGCGTGCTGGGTGCATGCACCCTCAAGCAGCCTGGGTGTGTGCTGGGTGCATGCACCCTCTAGCAGCCTGGGTGCGTGCTGGGTGCATGCACCCTCTAGCAGCCTGGGTGCGTGCTGGGTGCATGCACCCTCTAGCAGCCTGGGTGCGTGCTGGGTGGATGCACCCTCTAGCAGCCTGGGTGCGTGCTGGGTGCATGCACCCTCTAGCAGCCTGGGTGCGTGCTGGGTGCATGCACCCTCTAGCAGCCTGGGTGCGTGCTGGGTGCATGCACCCTCAAGCAGCCTGGGTGCGTGCTGGGTGCATGCACCCTCTAGCAGCCTGGGTGCGTGCTGGGTGCATGCACCCTCTAGCAGCCCGGGTGCGTGCTGGGTGCATGCACCCTCTAGCAGCCTGGGTGCGTGCTGGGTGCATGCACCCTCTAGCAGCCTGGGTGCGTGCTGGGTGCATGCACCCTCTAGCAGCCTGGGTGCGTGCTGGGTGCATGCATGCACCCTCTAGCAGCCTGGGTGCGTGCTGGGTGCATGTACCCTCTAGCAGCCTGGGTTCGTGCTGGGTGCATGCACCCTCTAGCAGCCTGGGTGCGTGCTAGGTGCATGCACCCTCTAGCAGCCTGGGTGCGTGCTGGGTGCATGCACCCTCTAGCAGCCTGGGTGCGTGCTGGGTGCATGCACCCTCTAGCAGCCTGGGTGCATGCTGGGTGCATGCACCCTCTAGCAGCCTGGGTGCGTGCTGGGTGCATGCATGCACCCTCTAGCAGCCTGGGTGCGTGCTGGGTGCATGCACCCTCTAGCAGCCTGGGTGCGTGCTGGGTGCATGCACCCTCTAGCAGCCTGGGTGCGTGCTGGGTGCATGCACCCTCTAGCAGCCTGGGTGCGTGCTGGGTGCATGCACCCTCTAGCAGCCTGGGTGCATGCTGGGTGCATGCACCCTCTAGCAGCCTGGGTGTGTGCTGGGTGCATGCACCCTCTAGCAGCCTGGGTGCGTGCTGGGTGCATGCACCCTCTAGCAGCCTGGGTGCGTGCTGGGTGCATGTACCCTCTAGCAGCCTGGGTTCGTGCTGGGTGCATGCACCCTCTAGCAGCCTGGGTGCGTGCTAGGTGCATGCACCCTCTAGCAGCCTGGGTGCGTGCTGGGTGCATGCACCCTCTAGCAGCCTGGGTGCGTGCTGGGTGCATGCACCCTCTAGCAGCCTGGGTGCATGCTGGGTGCATGCACCCTCTAGCAGCCTGGGTGCGTGCTGGGTGCATGCATGCACCCTCTAGCAGCCTGGGTGCGTGCTGGGTGCATGCACCCTCTAGCAGCCTGGGTGCGTGCTGGGTGCATGCACCCTCTAGCAGCCTGGGTGCGTGCTGGGTGCATGCACCCTCTAGCAGCCTGGGTGCGTGCTGGGTGCATGCACCCTCTAGCAGCCTGGGTGCATGCTGGGTGCATGCACCCTCTAGCAGCCTGGGTGCGTGCTGGGTGCATGCACCCTCTAGCAGCCTGGGTGCGTGCTGGGTGCATGCACCCTCTAGCAGCCTGGGTGTGTGCTGGGTGCATGCACCCTCCAGCAGCCTGGGTGCGTGCTGGGTGCATGCACCCTCTAGCAGCCTGGGTGCGTGCTGGGTGCATGCACCCTCCAGCAGCCTGGGTGCGTGCTGGGTGCATGCACCCTCTAGCAGCCTGGGTGCGTGCTGGGTGCATGCACCCTCTAGCAGCCTGGGTGCGTGCTGGGTGCATGCACCCTCTAGCAGCCTGGGTGCGTGCTGGGTGCATGCACCCTCCAGCAGCCTGGGTGCGTGCTGGGTGCATGCACCCTCTAGCAGCCTGGGTGCGTGCTGGGTGCATGCACCCTCTAGCAGCCTGGGTGCGTGCTGGGTGCATGCATCCTCTAGCAGCCTGGGTGCGTGCTGGGTGCATGCACCCTCTAGCAGCCTGGGTGTGTGCTGGGTGCATGCACCCTCTAGCAGCCTGGGTGCGTGCTGGGTGCATGCACCCTCTAGCAGCCTGGGTGTGTGCTGGGTGCATGCACCCTCTAGCAGCCTGGGTGTGTGCTGGGTGCATGCACCCTCTAGCAGCCTGGGTGCGTGCTGGGTGCATGCACCCTCTAGCAGCCTGGGTGTGTGCTGGGTGCATGCACCCTCTAGCAGCCTGGGTGTGTGCTGGGTGCATGCACCCTCTAGCAGCCTGGGTGTGTGCTGGGTGCATGCACCCTCTAGCAGCCTGGGTGCGTGCTGGGTGCATGCACCCTCTAGCAGCCTGGGTGCGTGCTGGGTGCATGCACCCTCTAGCCGCCTGGGTGTGTGCTGGGTGCATGCACCCTCTAGCAGCCTGGGTGCGTGCTGGGTGCATGCACCCTCTAGCAGCCTGGGTGTGTGCTGGGTGCATGCACCCTCTAGCAGCCTGGGTGTGTGCTGGGTGCATGCACCCTCTAGCAGCCTGGGTGCGTGCTGGGTGCATGCACCCTCTAGCAGCCTGGGTGTGTGCTGGGTGCATGCACCCTCTAGCAGCCTGGGTGTGTGCTGGGTGCATGCACCCTCTAGCAGCCTGGGTGTGTGCTGGGTGCATGCACCCTCTAGCAGCCTGGGTGCGTGCTGGGTGCATGCACCCTCTAGCAGCCTGGGTGTGTGCTGGGTGCATGCACCCTCTAGCAGCCTGGGTGCGTGCTGGGTGCATGCACCCTCTAGCAGCCTGGGTGCGTGCTGGGTGCATGCACCCTCTAGCAGCCTGGGTGTGTGCTGGGTGCATGCACCCTCTAGCAGCCTGGGTGTGTGCTGGGTGCATGCACCCTCTAGCAGCCTGGGTGTGTGCTGGGTGCATGCACCCTCTAGCAGCCTGGGTGTGTGCTGGGTGCATGCACCCTCTAGCAGCCTGGGTGTGTGCTGGGTGCATGCACCCTCTAGCAGCCTGGGTGCGTGCTGGGTGCATGCACCCTCTAGCAGCCTGGGTGCGTGCTGCTGCTCCAGGGTCACCAGACGCGCGTGCTGCTGCTCAGTCCTCCCACCTCACCAGACGCCCCAGTGCAGTTACCAACATGCGTGCTGTTGCAGGCTACCCCACGTGGAAGGGGCGGATACTGGATGGGGAGGGGAGCAGAGCAGCTGTGGGCGCTGATAGAGGGGTGAGCGAGGCGCGTGCCTGGCTGGCACGACGGGGCAGATCCTGGTAGGAGAGCAGAGGCGGTGTGGGCAGTGAGAGACGGGTACACCTCATGCGAATCCCACCACGTGCCGATGCATCATGGCCCATGCACCATGGCCCATGCGCCATGACCCATGCATCCCATCCCATTCTCCAGGCTACCCCACGTGGAAGGGGCAGATTCTGGATGGAGAGCAGCTGTGGGCGCTGATAGAGGGCCTGGAGGCCAATGGGCTGCTCTTCTACACGCACCTGCTCACCGGTGTGTGCACTTGTTGGTGGCGTGTGTGATGAAAGGAGCATGCATGTTGAGTCGACTCAAAAGAAGCTCAGATCGGTCAACCCCAAGCTGACACTGACGCACCTCATCCCAACCACTCACACCTCAATCTCGGTTGCATAATCAACCTCCCTCTTCTCTCCCCCTCCCATCAGGCTACATCGGGTCGCTCTCCTTCCTGAAAACTGTTCTACGGGTTGTGGAGAAGCTAAGATCAGTCAACCCCAACCTAATATATGGTACTTTCTGGGTTTACCCCAAGCTGATAATGGACGGTTATTTCTTAGTTCACCCTGACTCTAGATACAATACTCCATGGGTTAGCCTTAGCCTGATATATGGTACTTTATGGGGTAACCCCCATTCTGATATACGGTACTTTATGGGGTAACCCCCATTCTGATACATGGTACTGTATTGAGTAACCCCCATTCTGATATATGGTACTTTATAGGGTAAACCCCAATTCTCATAAATGGTATTTTATGGGGTAACCCCCATCCTGATAAACGGTACTTTATGGGGTAACCCCCATTCTGATACATGGTACTGTATGGTATGGAGTAACCCCCATTCTGATATATGGTACTTTATGGGGTAATCCCCATGCTGATACATGGTAATTTATGGAGTAACCCTCATTCTGATATATGGTATTTTATGGGGTAACCCCCATTCTGATACATGGTACTTTATGGGGTAACCCGATTCTCATATCTGGTACTTTATGGGGTAACCCCCATTCTGATACATGGTACTTTATGGTCCTCCTGTCCCCATCTGTCTCGTCTTTACCCCCGGTCCTCTCCTGTCCCCAGTTCTTTACACTTTCTCCTTATTCTTCTTGCGTCTCACCTCTCTTGGTGTGTTTTGAAGTGCAATCTTGGTGTGATGTGATCCCGCAATCTTCTCCTCCCTATGTGCGGTCTAGTCATGCTGCTGCTGCTTTTCTCGCATCTACCCATCTCTCTGCCCGTCCTCCGCTTGTCTCACATCCCCACATCGATCCGAATGGGCTTGTCTCACAAAGGCTGCCTCCATCCGCATCGCTGCTTTCCCTTTCCATCTCTCTCCATACCACCTCTCTTCTCCTCACCGTAATGGACCTCTCAAAGGCCTGCTGCCTGCTCCCCTCTCTCCCCCTCACCCATTCTCTGCCTCCCATCCCTCTCCAGTTTCCTTCCTCGCCCCAATCTCTCTCCCCCAATGTCTCCTCCCCATCCCTTCTCTCCCCGTCACAGTGTGCGATCCAGTGATGGGGGACGACGGTCGTCTCTACATTCGCCCCGAGCTCGTCCCCATCTACCGCCACCAGGTGCCACCTCCTCTTGCCGTAAGCGTGTTCTGCGAGGTCTCACAAAACCGCCAGCAGGTGCCACTCACACCTGTTCCTTTGAGAGCCACATCCACGTGTTCACATCCACGTGTTCACATCCACGTGCCACCTCCTCTCGCTGTATTGTGTTCTGTCTGAAAGGAACCGACAGCAGGTGTCGTGTCGTGACATCCACGCCTGCCCTATTCATGCCTTGAAAGTGCTATGCAAATTCTCAGAAACGCCTGCAGTTGCCATCTGTCTCACAGAACTGACACCAGGTGCCATGCCATTCGCACCAGCCCTGTTCATGCTGTGAGTTTGATTTGAGAATACAAAAAAAAAAAAAACCAACGCATCAAGTGCCCTTGACACCTGCCCTGCACACCTGCCCTACACACCTGCCCTCTATGCGTCTCTCTGTGATGAATCTAACTACCCTATTGTTGGGTGTGCGCCTTCCCTCAACGCGGCATCCATCTAGCAGCTGACAGACAGACAACCAATCTCTCAACATCTGTGTATCGTTCTGGGCTCTCATCCCCGTTGCTCAGTGCGTGCTGCTGTGCTGCATGGCAGGTGGTCCCAGTGGCGACGCTCATCACGCCAAACCAATTCGAAGCAGAGCAGCTCACAGGCCTCAGGTGAATGGCTCGGTACTCTACCAGGTTCCTACTTAGCAACTTGTTCTTTGCATTATGTTGCGCTCAGGTTTGAAGTGGATTGGTGCGATGAGAGTCTCTCAACTGCTTTGAGGTACAGCAAATCACAGGCCTCACAACCCTGAGCAGGTCTTAACTCAAAGGCTTCAGGTGAATTGATATGCTCTTGCTACCTGCTCCTCTCCTCGCCTTGTTCTCCTTACCTTGCTGAGAATCATAAATGTCGATATTGATGACTCAAAAAGCATATCTGATCCGGCATTTGTTTTGCCGTGCTGTGCTGTGCCGTGCCGTGCCGTGCCGTGCCGTGCCGTGCCGTGCCGTGCCGTGCCGTGCCGTGCCGTGCCGTGCCGTGCCGTGCCGTGCTGTGCTGTGCTGTGCTGTGCTGTGACCTGCATCCAATCACAGACTTCAATCTATAGGTGCCACAACACTCGCCCACTCACTAACCAAACTCCCTGCACACGTGGCGTTTAGGCATTGCCAGTCCAAACTCACTGCTTCCCTCCCCCCCTCCCTCCCAGCGGCCAAACTAAGCAGCTGCCATCACTGCATGAGACATGCTGCATGTTGCAGGGCCCAGGAAGGTGAATGTGCATGGCATTGCCACAGGGGGGAGCGAATGTAGAATTGCTGATACTGGCACTGTTGAGGCGCCTCAAAAGTCTGATACAAGCACTGCATGTGCACCCCTTCTCCCCTCCATTTCCATCCTCCCCTGCCTCCTTCCCTCCCTCGCAGCATCCGGACTCAAGCAGACGCCATCACTGCATGTGACATGCTGCACGCAGCAGGGCCCAGAAAGGTATGGATGGCTACAGGGGAGGAAGAACAGTGGGTAGGTAGGTGAGGGGGACTTTTGAGACGTCTCAAAAGTCGTCTACTTACACACGTAGGTAGGTGAGGGGGACTTTCTGGAATCTCTTTAGTGGTTCGAACAAACGTGTGGCAGTGGATTAGCATGATGCTTGATGCTGCAGGGCTTAGAAAGGTATGCGTGGCTACAGGGGAGGAAGGACAGTGGTCTAGGGAGTTTCGGGGATTTCAAAAGTGTTTTGAATGCAAGTATGATAACGGTGTGGATGGGTATGATGTTGCCCGCTGTATGGCCCAGAAAGGTATCGCATTGAGTCGGTTCAGATCATCTAAGCTTATTAGGGGGGTGGGGTTGGGGGAAGGAGGAGGGGGAGGGGGGAAGGGGGGGGAGGGGAGAGGGAGAGAAAAGACAGCCCTGCTGAGGATGGCATGGTGGGCGTGCTGACGTCATGGTTTGCTTGCTGGCGCTCCGTTGCTGCTGCGAGAGGGGAAGGACAATCCACGAGTTTTCTGGCCGAATTGATTTACCAGCAACGGCTGAATTGATTTACCCAGTAACAACTCCTCACGATCCATGAGGTGGTGATGGTAAGGCATGCGGATGAAGGAGCAGGAGGGTGAAGAAACGCCTCTTTCAACTCCTCTCAACCACTGTCACACACCCCACAACACTCCTATCAGGTGATGGCCGGCTGCTGGTGGTGGAGGGGTGATGTCCCACGAAGCACTCTTGCCTCTCTAGAACCTGCTCAACCCCTTTCAACCTCTTTCAATCACATTGATTTATTGTGGACACCACACAACAAGCTGATCAGGTGGTGCTCACGAGCACTGAGGTAAATGGCCAGCTGGTGGTGGTGGAGGGGAGTGTGCCTTGATAAGTAGCGCATCTCTCAAGCCCACTCCACTGCATTCAACCACTTTCAACCGCTCTCATCTACTGGTGATCATTAGCAACGCTCCCAGCTGGTGATGGCGGAGGGGATTGGTTTTGCATGGGCAAGGCCCTCTCTTAAACCTGCTCCATCCCTTTCAACCGCTTTCAACCACTCCGTTCAGGTGGTGATCACAAGCATGGAGGTGGATGGGCGGCTGCTGGTAGTGGGGAGTGACGCCAGCAGCCCTGCTGGAGAGGAGGTGAGTGAGGTGAGGCGGCATGAGGGTATCTGTCTGGTGGTGGAGGTGTGCTTTGAGTCACCAGGTGTCCAACCACTCAATCACATCTGCTTGGCGTGACGCCAGCAGCCATGCTGCAGAGCAGGTGAGTGAGAAGGCATGGGGAGCTGGTGGTAGGTGAGAGGAAGTGAGTGAGAGGAAATGAGTGAGAGGCAGTGAGTGAGAGGAAATGAGTGAGAGGAAGTGAGTGAGAGGAAATGAGTGAGAGGAAGTGAGTTAGAGGAAATGAGTGAGAGGAAGTGAGTGAGAGGAAATGAGTGAGAGGAAGTGAGTGAGAGGAAATGAGTGAGAGGAGGTGAGTGAGAGGAAATGAGTGAGAGGAGGTGAGTGAGAGGAAATGAGTGAGAGGAGGTGAGTGAGAAGAAGAGGAGTGTCTTTCTGGTAGTTGGGGTGCGTTTCGAGTCGACTCAGAGAAGTGGTGCCAGCAGCCCTGCTGCAGAGCAGGAGAGAGATATGGGCCCCCTTGTCTTGACAATGGAAAGCAGATATCTGTTTTGCTTCAATTTCTTTCTATCACTCATTATCCTCTTTGTTTGCACCAGCCATTGCCACCCTCACATACACTACCCTATCTTACTCCCTTTCCAATTCTGACATTCTGGCCGGCATTTGAACAAACACTCTATTCAGGAGGGCTCTGAACAGCGTTCTTTGCAGCGGTTCTGCATCGCAGTGCCCAAGATACCACACTACTTTACTGTATGGCGCTCCATTAATAGCTTTGAAGCAGCACGTGGCACATGGTTATGCAATCTGTCTCACACTTTCTGTGCCTCTTACCATGTCCCGTGTCCCACACAGCACCAGCTTTACAACATCACATATCACCAGCCTTACAACATCACATATCACCAGCCTTACATCATCACATATCACCAGCCTTACATCATCACACATCACCAGCCTTACAACATCACATATCACCAGCCGTACATCATCACATATCACCAGCCTTACATCATCACATATCACCAGCCTTACATCATCACATATCACCAGCCTTACATCATCACATATCACCAGCCTTACATCATCACACATCACGCATCACCAGCCTCACAACATGCCATTTTCACATGGATTTCGACGTGCTACTCCGCATGCCATTGCATATACCACACCACATGCCATCTGACATACCATATCACATGCCATTGCATATACCACACCACATGCCATTTGACATACTACCATGTCACATGCCTGACATATCCCATCCAACGTACCATACCACATGCCATCCCACGTGAACGGCACACGTGCAGGGAACGGGAGATTTGATGACCGCATTGCTGCTTGGATGGTCACATGTGAGTGGGGCAGTGGCATGTGAGTGGGGCAGTGGCATGGCAGGAGTCTCATTGCATCGCAATCCTTCATCAGTCTTCTGGTGACATCTCTCAGCTCTGTTACACAGCACTCTGCTGCTTACATAGCACTCTGCTGCTTACATAGCACTCTACTGCTTACACAGCACTCTGCTGCTTACACAGCACTCTGCTGCTTACATAGCACTCTGCTGCTTACACAGCACTCTGCTGCTTACATAGCACTCTGCTGCTTACACAGCACTCTGCTGCTTACACAGCACTCTGCTGCTTACATAGCACTCTGCTGCTCACATAGCACTCTGCTGCTTACATAGCACTCTGCTGCTCACATAGCACTCTGCTGCTTACATAGCACTCTGCTGCTGACATAGCACTCTGCTGCTTACACAGCACTCTGCTGCTTACATAGCACTCTGCTGCTTACAGAGCACTCTGCTGCTTACATAGCACTCTGCTGCTTACACAGCACTCTGCTGCTTACACAGCACTCTGCTGCTTACACAGCACTCTGCTGCTTACATAGCACTCTGCTGCTTACACAGCACTCTGCTGCTTACATAGCACTCTGCTGCTTACACAGCACTCTGCTGCTTACAGAGCACTCTGCTGCTCACATAGCACTCTGCTGCTTACATAGCACTCTGCTGCTTACATAGCACTCTGCTGCTTACATAGCACTCTGCTGCTTACATAGCACTCTGCTGCTTACATAGCACTCTGCTGCTTACACAGCACTCTGCTGCTTACATAGCACTCTGCTGCTCACATAGCACTCTGCTGCTTACATAGCACTCTGCTGCTCACATAGCACTCTGCTGCTTACATAGCACTCTGCTGCTGACATAGCACTCTGCTGCTTACACAGCACTCTGCTGCTTACATAGCACTCTGCTGCTTACAGAGCACTCTGCTGCTTACATAGCACTCTGCTGCTTACACAGCACTCTGCTGCTTACACAGCACTCTGCTGCTTACACAGCACTCTGCTGCTTACATAGCACTCTGCTGCTTACACAGCACTCTGCTGCTTACATAGCACTCTGCTGCTTACACAGCACTCTGCTGCTTACAGAGCACTCTGCTGCTCACATAGCACTCTGCTGCTTACATAGCACTCTGCTGCTTACATAGCACTCTGCTGCTTACATAGCACTCTGCTGCTTACATAGCACTCTGCTGCTTACATAGCACTCTGCTACTTACACAGCACTCTGCTGCTTACACAGCACTCTGCTGCTTACATAGCACTCTGCTGCTTACATAGCACTCTGCTGCTTACATAGCACTCTGCTGCTTACATAGCACTCTGCTGCTTACACAGCACTCTGCTGCTTACATAGCACTCTGCTGCTTACAGAGCACTCTGCTGCTTACACAGCACTCTGCTGCTTACATAGCACTCTGCTGCTTACATAGCACTCTGCTGCTTACATAGCACTCTGCTGCTTACATAGCACTCTGCTGCTTACATAGCACTCTGCTGCTTACATATCACTCTGCTGCTTACACAGCACTCTGCTGCTTACAGAGCACTCTGCTGCTCACATAGCACTCTGCTGCTTACATAGCACTCTGCTGCTTACATAGCACTCTGCTGCTTACATAGCACTCTGCTGCTTACATAGCACTCTGCTGCTTACATAGCACTCTGCTGCTTACACAGCACTCTGCTGCTTACACAGCACTCTGCTGCTTACACAGCACTCTGCTGCTTACACAGCACTCTGCTGCTTACATAGCACTCTGCTGCTTACAGAGCACTCTGCTGCTTACATAGCACTCTGCTGCTTACATAGCACTCTGCTGCTTACATAGCACTCTGCTACTTACATCGCCCTCTACTGGTTAAAACCCACTCTGCTGTTCATTCTTCCTGCTCTACCCATCCCATCCTCTCCCTCCCTCTCTCCCTCCCTCCCTCCCTCCCTCCCTCCCTCCCTCCCTCCTCCCTTCCTCCCTCCTTCAACAGAAGTATCCGCACGACTTGGCTAGAGCAGCGGAACTAGCAGTGGCATCACTGCAGGTGAGCAGCTGCTGTTGCGCCTAGTGCCACTGCTTGATGCTGCTCTGCTGTGGTTTTTACACTCGTTTAGCTGTTCTGTTGCAGCAGCAGAGGTGGCAGTGGCATTGTTACAGGAGGTGAGCACCTGCTGCTGGTCCTGATGCAATTGGGTGTTGCCGCTGGGTTGTCCATGGCTTTGAGGCAAGCTATATCAGCAGAGTTGGCATTGGCAACCCGTGGCATTGCAACCTTCCTGACCTGATTGCTCCTCTCCTCCCATTCTTTCTCCCTACAGGCTGTGCTCGCACGAACCCTGCAGCACCACTCTCCACCTCTGGACGGCACCGTTTCCTCTCTCACTCCCCCCACCCCCAAGCGCCTGGAGCTCTGCCTCATTCAGAGCCGCGATAACTTCAGCTTCTCCTCTCCCCCTCTCCCTCCCTGCAGGCTGTGCTCGCACGAACCTTGCAGCACCGCTCTCCACCTCTGGACGGCACCGAGTCCTCTCCCACTCCCCCCACTCCCAAGCGCCTGGAGCTCTGCCTCGTTCAGAGCCGTGACGACATTATAAGCCCGCCTGTTGTGTTACGTGCACAAGCGGTTGAAAGCGGTGTAGATGGTTTAGATGGATTGCAAGATGGTGAAAGTGCCTTGGTGAGCGGTGACAGTGTAGGGGTGCTGCAGGATAAGGGAGTTGATGCTCAGCTGACAACTGAGAACTGAGTTGAATGTACTGTAAAAAGAGAACGCTCAACTGTTTTTGGCCGGGTGAGGCACTTTCCTGAGCACAATTAACACCAAGAAAAGGACCAGGCGGAAATCGAACCAACAAGGTGTTGCACATCAGTATTTGAATGAGAGAGTTATGCTATTGGTCCTGTGTTGAATGGAATTTGTTGTGTATTATTGTATTTGACAACGACGTGATTTTCAAGGTTGGACGTACTGAGCTCTCTTGTCAAGCATCATGGAGGACGCAGAGCCGCTGCGCGCGCTCTCTGCCCACATCGCGTAAAAACGGACCAGGCGGGTATCGCCCTTACTTAGTTTCCCTCAGCTTTCCGCTCTATCGCCGCGTTCCTTCCGTCCCTAGTCCCTCCCCGCGCTGCGCGCGCTCTCCGTCCAGAGCGCGTGACGCGGACCGTACTTGTCTCCCGCCGAGTAGCCATGGAGGACGCAGAGGCGCGCCGCTCTCGCCTGCGCAGCATGCGCGAGTCCGCGGCGAAGCAGCAGGCGGCGTCCCCCGGCGCGCCCACGCCTTCCGCCGCCCTCTCCGCACTCCCCTCCCCTGACTTCTCTCCGCCGCTTATCCGCACGCATCTGCGTGTGCGCCATCCGGGGAAGGCGGACCTGGGGGAGGTAGATCTGCTAGACGGCCAGCAGGAGCAGCCACCACAGGCTCGGGGAATTTCTCACAGGCCTCATGTAAATATCTTCAAAGCTCTAGCGTGTTTGTCTTAAAGCCCTATCATTCTCAGCTTCCGAGGTACCTGATCTACCCTACTCCCCAGCACCACGAGTGTCAAGTGCTGCCGTTTATGACTCCCAAGTCATCTCTCAAGCATTTCTCGTGTCATGTCGTGCTGGTGCCGCGCCGTGCCGGGTCGCGCCGTGCCGTTCCGGGTCGCGCCGTGCCGTGCCGTGTCGTATCCTGTATGCCGACCGTATGTCGAAAATGTCCATCGGGGAACTACCTTGAGGCAGAAGCAACTCAACGTCTCTCCCTCCCCATGTGTGATGCACCCTCCAACTGCCTGTCTAACTAATATGGGCCCTTCTCCCAGGTTGAATAGAAAAAACCCCTGTTTCTGGCCTCCGTTTCCCTCCCTTGCAACATCTAGACTCAAGCAGACGCCATCACTGCATGTGACATGCTGCGCGCTGCAGGGCCCAGGAAGGTATGCGAGGCTACAGGGGAGGAAGAACAGTGGGCAGGTAGGTGAGGGGGACTTTCTGGAATCTCAATACTGTTTCGAACAAACGTGTGGCGGTGGATTAGCCTGCTGCTTGATGCTGCGGGTCCCAGAAACGTATTCTGCACGGCTAGGGCCTAGAGGGGACGAAGAACTGTGGGGCAGGAACTTTCGGGAAACTCAAATTTCCTCAAGTGTTTTGAATGTAAGTATGATGGTGAATTGGGATGGTTTTGCATGCTCTAGGGCCCAGAAAGGTATCACATTGAGTGGGGTTCAGGTCATCTAAACCTCATGGGGGTTGGGGGTGGGATGGGGGGGGGGGGAGGAGGAGGGGGAGTGGGGGACGAGAGGGGGAGAGAGAAGGGCACCCCTGCTGAGGACGGCATGGTGGGCGTGCTGACGTCATGGTTTGCTTGCTTGCTGGCGCTCTGGCACCGCTGCGAGAGGGGAAGGATAATCCTCGAGTTTCCGTGCTGAATTGATTTACCAGCAAGCAACACCTCCTCGTAATTCATCAGGTGAGGCACGAGGAGTGGAGGGAGTGTACTTGCTTTGCTTCGAGGAGAGAGGGAGGGTGAAGAAACACCTCTTTCAACTCCACTCAACCGCTGTCACGTACCCCACGACACTCCCATCAGGTGGAGATCGCGAGCATGGAGGTGAAAGCCCAGCTGCTGCTGGTGGAGGGGAGATGTCCCATGAAGCATCGCCACATCTCTTAAGCCCGCTCAACCCCTGTCAACTGCTTTCAACCCCCCCAAAATATTGTAAACACCCCAAAACACTCCCGTAATGTGGTGATCACGAGCATGGAGGTGGATGGATGGCCGGTTGCTGGGGTGGAGTGGTCCTTGCGGCAACACCCCTCTTAAACCTGCTCAAACCCCTTCAACCACTTTCAACCGCTATCAACCCCTTTCAACTGTTTTCAACCACTCCCATCAGGTGGTGATAACGAGCATGGAGGTGGATGGCCAGCTGCTGGTGGTGGGTAGCGACGCCAGCAGCCCTGCTGTAGAGCAGGTGGGTGTAGCAGAGAAGGTGAGTGGTTCAGCAGAGCAGGTGAGTGGTGCAGCAGAGCAGGTGAGTGGTGCAGCAGAGCAGGTGAGTGGTGCAGCAGAGCAGGTGAGTGGTGCAGCAGAGCAGGTGAGTGGTGCAGCAGAGCAGGTGAGTGGTGCAGCAGAGCAGGTGAGTGGTGCAGCAGAGCAGGTGAGTGGTGCAGCAGAGCAGGTGAGTGGTGCAGCAGAGCAGGTGAGTGGTGCAGCAGAGCAGGTGAGTGGTGCAGCAGAGCAGGTGAGTGGTGCAGCAGAGCAGGTGAGTGGTGCAGCAGAGCAGGTGAGTGGTGCAGCAGAGCAGGTGACTGGTGCAGCAGAGCAGGGCACGGGGTGTGTGGGTGCTGGACTCGCTGCTGATAGCCTGGTGCTGGTGGTGGGGCGTGACGCCAGTAGCCCTGCTGTAGAGCAGATGGGTGAGGTGACAGGGCATGGGGCGTGCCAGTGTGGTGGTCGAGGTGTGCTTTGAGTCGAATCACTCGCATGTGGTTGGATATGCTGCTGCTGCTAATGCTGGTGCTGGTGCTGGTGGTGGGGAGTGACGCCAGCAGCCGTGCAGCAGGGGAAGTGAGTGAGGTGACAGGTCATGAGGGTGTTGGTCTGGTGTTGAGGTGTGGTTTGAGATGACTCCTGAACATGCTGCTTGTGCTGCTGGTGGGTAGTGATGCCAGTAGCCCTGCTGCAGAGGAGGTGTGTGAGAGGGCATGGGGGTGTTGGTCTAGTGCTTGATTTGATGTGTGGTGTGAGGATGGGGCAGGTTTCACACAACAGGTCGGCGCATGAGGCATGCCGTGTCGGTGAGTGTTAGTAGGTCAGCAATGGGCCCTTGTTTTGACCTTGGAAAGCAGGTCTCATCACTTCACCCCCCTGCCCTTGTCACTTCACCCGCCTGCCCTTGTCACTTCACCCGCCTGCCCTTGTCACTTCACCCCCCTGTGCTGGTGACTTATCCTGCCTACCTGCAGTGAACTTGTGCCACTTTTATTCTTTCTCCCCCTCTTTCATTCAATTTCTCCTACGTTTGCACCTGCCCTGCCCACCCCTACATACACCACCCCGTACATACTCTGCCCTGGCTCCCACTCTGGTCAACATCTTGACATACGTATTTCAGGAGGAGGGCCCCGGACCACCTGGATCATCTGGATCACATTCCTTGCAACGCTTCTGCTTTGCAGTGCCCAAGATATCCGAGTACTTCACTGTATGGCACTCCTTCTCACACTCTCTCTTCTCACACCCTCCTTCTCTCACTCTCCTCACACTCTCCTTCAGTGTGCAAATCAAAACAAGCAGCGCATATCGTCTCTCTCATCCCCCCTTGCTCTCCCTTCTGCCCTCCTCTCCCTTCCCCCCTTACTCCCCTCCACCTCCGTCAGGCGGCAAGGCAACAACATGAGCGTAATCGGAAGGGTGATGGCAGAAAAACTTGTTTGTGATTGATTAATAAGCAGAGATGGGGTACAAGAGGGGGGAAAACCCCCCTAAAATCCTGAAAAAAACCCCCCCAAGGCCCCCCCAAGGCCCCCCCAAGGCCCCCCTAAGGCCCCCCTACCCCCCAATTCTCCTCACAGCCCCTCACAGCCCCCCTCGAACCGCCCTAGAAATCCCTGGGCATGGCCCATGCATATCTGCTCCCTGTCATATCACATTCCTGCTTCTGCTTCTACTTGGTGCTTCCTATCTATCATATCCCTCCCGGGCATGGCATGGCATGGCATGGCCAACCAGGGAGGGGCGCACAGCACAGAGAGCCAGGAGCTCATCCACCACTCCCTCTTCTGTTCTGCTTCTGCTCCCCACTCCCCTCCCTTTTCCCTCACCCCTCCCCCCTTTCTCTGCCCGCCAGCGTATATAATAACAAGCACATACATTCACATTCGCTAGGTCATCAAATCTATAAGTCATCTATCACTCTACGCGTCGTAGCAAATAGCCTCATGTTGTCGACAGAGAAAGTGGCACATGCGCTCCCTCCTTGTGCGTCTGTTTCTCTCTCTTCTTCTCCCTCATGTCCTGCCCTGCGCATGGCTGAACACAAACAGGTGGCAACGCATCTACTCCCTGTTTCCGTTTCTGTCACTCTTTCATATCCCAAACCTGGCCCAAACCAAACCTGCACTCCCCCCCTCCCCCTGCATATATAATAACAGGCACATACATTTATGTTCCTAACGTAATCAGATTCATCAATCTCTACCACTCTACACATTGCAAGCCAAGTGTCTTCGTCTTGGCGACATGAGGGAAGCTGGCACCTGCGCAAGGGGAGGGGGGGAGTTGGGGTGGGGGAGAGGGGAAGCGGAGCAAGTGAGCAGGGGGAGCAGGGCAGGTGAGGGGATGGCAAGAGGTGTGAGGGCATGGTGGGATGGCAGGTGTGAGGGATATGGCAAGGTGTGCGGTGCATGCTCTGAGGCGACTCACAATGCACATGCGGCTGAATTGGTGGTGCATGCAGCATGGCATGGCGCTGCGCTCCTCCCTGCTTCTGTTTCTCTCCCTTGTCCTCTCTCATGTCCCGCGCATGGATGATCGGGGACGGGCACACAAGCAGCTGGCAACGCATCTGCTCCCTGTGCAAAGTATCTTCATCTTGGCGACAGGAGAAACTGGCACCTGCGCAAGGGGAGGGGAGGAGTCGGGGTGGGGGAGCAGAGCAAGTGAGCGGGGGGAGCAGAGCAAGTGAGCGGGGGGAGCAGGGCAAGTGAGCGGGGGGAGCACCCTAAACCCCCTTACCCCCTTACCTGGCAGGAAATGAGAAGGCACCATGCAGGGAATGCGAATGCACCTGGCAGGGCATGCCAAGGCACCATGCAGGGCATGAGAATTTACCGGGCAGGGCATGAGAAGGCACCATGCAGGTCATGGGAAGGCACCTGGCAGAAGGGGGGAAGTGGGGAAAGAGGGGAGGGGGTGGGTGAGACATGCTCAAATAGGCAAGCGCTGCACTGGTACCTGGCAGAAAGGGGAGGGGAGAGGGTGGCCTGGATGTCTCAACGTTGCCCATGCCCCCTTACCGCCCCTTAAGCAAAGAATGCACACATGAACAAGAACAAGCAAGCAATCAAACTAAAGGGGAGGACAGAGGGGAGGGGGTGAGTGAGACACCTCGAAACATTATGCCCTGCACTCCCACCTGCTGGAAAGGGGAGGAAAGAGTGACACACCTCAGCATGCGCAGCACTGGCACCTGCTGGAAAGGGGAGGACAGAGAGGAGGAGGTGTGTGACACACCGCAAAACAACATGCGCAGCACTGGCACCTGCTGGAAAAGGGAGGACAGAGGGGAGGGGGTGAGTGAAACACCTCACAAAATTATGCCCTGCACCCCCACTCCGTGCTGCACCATCCGTCACACCACGCGCTGCTCTGGCAGCTGCTGAAACAGGGGGAGGGAGGGAAGGGGAGGGGAGTTGAGGGGGTGGGTTACATGACTAAAAACAAAGGAGAGAGAGGAGGGAATGGGTCACATGACTCAAAACAGAGGGGAGAGACAAAGGGATGGGTAACAAGTCTCAAGAGGGGTTGAGGGTATCATATGAATGATACTATGTTTAGTTCTTGTATGTTCTTGTTTCTGTTCTTAGTTCTTGTTTTGGTTGTTTCTTGAGCCGTTGTTTCCGTTCTTCTCTCACCATGGGGCGGTGAGGTGAGGAGGCGAGGTGCTCGACAGCGGCGCGTGGAGGGCTGAGCCGCCCGCGTGGAGGGCTGAGCCGCCCGCGCGGAGGGCTGAGCCGCCCGCGTGGAGGGCTGAGCCGCCCACGTGGAGGGCTGAGCCGCCCGCGTGGAGGGCTGAGCTGCCCGTGTGGAGGGCTCAGCCGGCGTCCATGGGGTGGCCGACCCACCCCATGCGCCATCAACACCACGTGCTGCAGTGGCTCATGCTGGAAGGGGTAGCCTGGTTGTAGGGTTTCGGGTTCAGAGGGAGCGGAGGGAGAGGAGACGTGATTGGAAATTCCACTGAGCATTCTCACGAACAGCAGCGCCTTGCACCCAGAGTCCACACTCGCGAACCAAGGCTGTGGGATGTCGAGGGGAGGGCGAACAGCAGGGGCAAGGGGAGGGAGAAAGACGAGCAGAGAAAGGGGAGTGAGAGGGAGAGGGAGGGGTGATGATGGATCCTCAGAAACAGCGGCGCCTTGCACCTAGACTCCACACTCACAAACCGAGGCTGAGAGGGAAGGGGAGGGACAAGACGAGGGACAAAGGAAAAAAAAAAAACGTTTTTTCTCAAACAGCAGTGCCTTGCACCCAGACTCCACACTCACAAACCGAGGCTGAGGGATGTCAAGGGGCGGGCGAACAGGAGGGGCGAGGGGAGGGCAAACGGTAGGGGCAAGGGGAGGGAGAAAGACGATGGGAGAGAGAGGAGGAGCGATAAGGGTTTCCACTTAGCATTCTCGCAAACAGCAGCGCCTTGCAGCCAGCGAGAGTCCAAACAGCAGCGCCTTGCAGCCAGCGAGACTCCACACCCCAAAGTGAGACCAGATGAGAGCGTTCAGTCAGGTGGCTTTTGAGTCGACTCAAAAGTCACCAGGTGAGAGCGTTCAGGACAAGGGGAGGGACAAGACGAGGGGCAAGGGGAGGAAGAGGGAGGGAAAAGAGGATTGCGAGAGAGGGAAGTGATGGGTGTTTGTGCTGGGCATTTATGCGAACAGCAGCGCCTTGCACCCAGACTACACACTCATGAACCGAGGCTGAGGGGCATGCACAAGGAAGGGAGGGAGAAGAGAAAGGAGGGAACAAGGAGGCGAGGATGCACAAGGGGAACAAAACAGGGGCACCTGGTAGCCTGAGGTCACGATTGCAATCGAGCCTGGGGGACACAGGGAGAGGGAGGGATACGAGGGGAGGGAGTGGGAGGGAGATAAGGGGAGGGTGAAGGAACAACAAGGGGAAAGGAGGGAAAAGGCACCCACCTACCCATCCCACGCACCTGTGAGCCGCTGCAAAACACACACACCTGTTTCCTCAACCCCCTCTCCACACGCACGCACCTGTTTCTTGAGTGCTGCCACTTCATTCCCCAGCAGCGCATCGATGGACGAACCCCCCTTCGCCTTCCCTGCAGATGCACCTTCCCCAGTCCGTGCCTCCCCCTCCCCCTCCCCCTGCGCCTTGCCAGCCTCCAGCTTGTCACACCACTGTGTGTGGGGCGAACAGGGATTAAGCAACATCAGCTCAGTCAGATAAGCCCTCCCCAGCCACCTTCCCCAGTGCTTGCCTCCCCCTCAGCCCGCGCCTTCACGGGCACCAGCTTGCCGCCGCACAACGGCGTGTGGGGCAAGCAGGGGAGATGGAAGGAAGAAAGGCAAAAACAGTTCAGTCAGATAGGCCCTCCACAGCCACCTTCCCCAATGCTTGCCCAGTCATCTATCTACCTACCCTCCAGGTTCTATCGTTTGCCTATGCGCCCCACTCACCTCCTTGCCGCCTCACCTGATCCCCTGTGCATGTCACCTCACAAGC